CCATTACCTTGTCATAGAAAGAAATGAAGCTGGTTAGGCATGACTTGCTCTTGACAAATCTATGTTGGTGATAAGGAGAGAGGGGCATTGAGCCCTTCACTGTACAAAAGCTTGCTTTAGGCATCTCTTATTTATTTAGTCTATAAGGTGCAAATCAACCATGACTTTCTTCATAAGGGGGGCCACATTCTTCAGTTCTGAAAGCACAACTTGATGTACATTAGAAAACTGAGTAAGGAGCTTGCTGCAATTACAAAAGCAAGGCCCATTCCTCTACCGTTAACTTAAGTGGGAGATGACAGTGCTCAGTATCAGAATCAGGTCCAGAGCCAACAATGTTTGACTGATCAGCAGGACTCTTGGCTTCGTGAACCCTGCTAACATTTCTCTCTTCCTCCCCAGCTCCCAAACCTCCTCTCAGGCAAACACAGATAGCAAATTTGCTCTTCATTATCAGCTACTGGTTTCCTGTGGCAGCTGCTTTGCTGATTTCAGGGCTTCTACATCTCACCCTTAACAGTCACATGATTATCTAACTGTCCTCAGAGGCAGTGTAGGTAGAGTGCCTAGAAGCACAAAGGAGGAGCAGGCAGAGGGGATTAGGAGGATGCTCGCTACATGGTTTGTAGCAATAGAGCCAAGAATGTCCCACCCTTCCCCCACACCGCAGCATTCTCTCTCCAGTGTTTCCTACAGAGGAGTGATTCCCAATAGTCTCTTTGACAGCTTGAACAGATGTTCAGTAAAAAGATGTTTTTAGCTAAAACTAGTCAAATTCTGAGTTTTCCTATGAAAAGGATGTTTTAATGAAAAACAAATCTGAAAACCAACAGAACACAAATCATTTTGCAAAAAGCTATTTTCAGCAAAATCTTCAATCCATATGCAAATGTTCTCTGAATGGTCAAAAAGTCATTTTTTTTGTAATATATATATGGGGAAAAATTCTACCATGCCTAGTGCTTAATATATTGTGCTTCAATAGTACCTTCCATGGGAGAATCTCAAAGAACTATAATATCTATTACTTTGAGTTGACTCCCACGACATGCAAGGCCATGACTTGAGATGATACACAAATTTGAGTGAAGTCATAAGGGATGTTATCCAGCTGTGTTATTCTATGATGTTATTTTCTATTATTTTGTCTTCCTCTGTTAGCAGCAGTATCTCACATACTGTGACAGGTGAGTGTTTACTGGAGGTTGCTCACTAGGTATGGAGGATGCCATGATCAACTTTGATGCCTACCTGGCTGGGGTCATTTGAGCCGTTTTTCTTCCTGCCCAGGCAGGGGGTCGGACTTGAAGATCTACAAGGTCTCTTCCGACCCTACTTCTATGATTCTAGGATTCTATGAACATGGAATAAAACCTCTCCCACTAGCAAATGTTGGATTAAGAAAAGCAAAATCTTCCATGAAAATCTTTATAGGGTATTTTGAGATCAGAATATAGCTAATTTGCAAATACCAGTAACAATTCTACATGGAATACTACCTGCCTATGTAAAAAAGCCTGGTATTAAGCTTATAGTCAGCTTCATATGCCAGAGCCCTAGTACCTATATGATAGTAATAATTCCTGACAGTACAACATGCAAAACTATAGGCTAATGACTCCACTTAAATAAACTAAACTGCTGCTGGTGGTCTCAGGACAGATGACAGGGCCTGAATAGGCCTGGACAGCATATACTTCTCTCATATCTAGGTTTGAACTCAGCTTGTCAGAGGTAACCACAGCTTCTTTAAAAAGTAAAGTTTCTTCTATTACACACAAATGGTCATGTACACTGAAGTTAAGTTCTGTCCTTCTCCCTGAACACATTCCACATGTAGCTGTGTGCACCTTTTTCTAAAGAAAATGCGTGTGGTATTGCACACGGAGGACAGAGCAAAGAGGGAGAGCATCTGTTTCAGGAGACCACTAGGTAATGGAATTAAACATGGCATATAGAAAATTCCTGTCTAGATCCTCCAAGGTATGACTCATTTCCTATGATCCCTGTGGTTGAGACCTATACTGGTAGCGGGGCTTGCACTGCTGCCTTTGATGTGCTTGTCTTGAGCACAGAGGCCTTCAGTTTTTAGTATTGTAATTCATTTTAGCAAAGCAGATTGTGCCAGACTGTTAAGGATTATAAAGTTGTTCTTCTTTTCTAATCTTTGCTAGCTAGATGTCTCTCCTAGTCTATGAGAGAGCCCACTAAAAGAAATGGTAGGATGCCACAGGCTTTGTTGCTGAAAAACATGCTGATGATGTTCAGTGATATCTCCTTTTTTCTACAGGCACAACCAAAGCCATCACAAAGATGTCACAAAGTTTGCAGTCAGTCCACAAATGGGTAAACAGCGCATGCCTCAAACGGAGCCTGAACACAACCTATGTAATTCTGGCTGTAGGGAGAGATTTTCAAAGAACTAGACAGACATACACTTTTATCAGTGTTGTCTTTGTCCCTCTCCTCCAATATATCAAAGAGGTATGAAACCTCAGCACATTACTGCAGCATAACTAGCAAAATACTTTGCTCTGTCTTCCATGCTGTAGGTGAACCCTGCCCCTTCCTTACACATGACAACCGATGATCCATAGATTCATCGCTTCCACTCTGGATGGCTGGAGCTTACTGTATCTGGGCCTCCAAGTGAAAGCAATGCAGAGGCGCCAGGTCATTCAGAACATAGGAGCCCACCTTCTCACGGGGCTGGATCACTATGAGCACATTGCACACAAACTCTGATACTTTCACTAGCTCCCGGGTCAATTATATCACCCATTCTAACCATCTACATATCACAGCCATGAAGTTCCACCCAGACTTTAGTTAAACCAAAGCATTTCAGTCCTCAGGAAATAAAACTATGTGCTACCAGTACTTGAAAGGCCTGTAATGGCATGGAGTTGACTTATTAGCTCAGTCTAGCCAGTCAAACATACCCCATGATGTAGAGGAAAGTGAAAAATCCCCAAGGTCCCTGCCAGTCTGACCTGGGAGAAAATTCCTTCCAAATCTGGCAGTCTGAGCTCAAACAGTCTCCAGGGACACTGGATGGAGAGGTTTCAAAGGAAAGAGAGTCTCTGAATCACTCAGAGCACTACTCCACGTATTGATCTCTTCCTATTAAAAAGACACTGAGATGTGCCAGTGAACTGGGTTTTAATCCTCTTAATGTGTGCCCTGTTAATGTCAAACCTCTTAATTCAAAATGTTATGTACCACAGAGAAATCCATGCTAACCAGATCAATACAGTTAAACTTTATCAGCCAGATTTGTAATCCTGTCAAAAAAAGAGACCACAGGCTTGTGTGACAAGGCTTACTTCCCATGAAATCATGAAATGAAAACCAAGGAATGAAAAATTAGCTTCTACTTTTCTATGAATAGGGTTTTGAATAAAACATTTCATTTTTTTTACCTAAAATTATAGTCCATTTACTTAGTTTATAGTCCCTTCAATCATCTCTTTTATTCACTTAAATATTATTCATATAAATAAACTACACTGGTAGTTCTCCACTCCCTTGGAGTTTCCCTGTTTTCCATGGTTACAAACTGTGAGTGGTTTGAAGAGCTTCTCAGCCAGTTGTGGGTATGTCTACACAGCATCCCTGTTACTTCTGCTAGGGTTACATACTCTTGAGCCTGCCCACCTACTCCCATTCATATATGCTAATTCAGAAATATGATGATGAAGCTATTTCAAAGATGTCCCCTGGGGCCAGACCAAGGGTCCATTTAGCCCAGCATCCTGTCTCTGACAGTGTCAAGCAGCAGGTGCTTTAGAGAAAGAGTATAAGGAAAAGGGCATATATAGGTTGATCCATCCCCTGTCATATTCTCCCAGTCATCAACATTAGACTACATCCTTAATTTGTGCTTAATGACCCCTAGTGGACCTATGATTCCTGGATTTCTCTAAACCAGGGGCGGGCAATTATTTCGGGCACAGGACCGCTTACTGAGTTTTGGCAAGCCATCGAGGGCTGCATGATAGGCAGTCAGAGGCAGATAAATATTAACTTTCTAAAATTTTTAGGGGTCCCGCAGGCCGGACAGAATGGCCTGGTGGGCCGCATCTGGCCCGCAGGCTGCATTTTGTCCACCCCTGCTCTAAACCCTTTTTGAACCCTGTTATGTGAGAGGGTGCTGTTTAATCGTATTTGCTTCTCCAGTGCAAAGTTCAAATTTCCACCCTCTCCACCAGTCTCACCTGCCTTATTATAAATATAGAAAAAGGGAGGGTGAATATTATAGAGGATGGTGGAATACCTTCAACCCAGATGGGTTGTTTCACAGGTTTCCTTGTACCCTACACCCTGTCCCTTTCCTCTCAAGGGGCCAATGGCAGATCTCATCATGTGATCCACAGTTACCAATTTGTTCCCCTGCTTTCAATTTTCCAGACCAGTTTCTGATGTCCCTTTGGTCCTTGACAAATTAACTTAAACCAATACTTTAGTCTAACAAAAGGACCACAACATTTGTCAAATGCTCAATTATCAGCGTCTGTATCTTGTCACCCATAGAGGTCCACAATACACTCTTATCCATTAATTAAGTTCAACTAAAATGCCAGCCTACTTGTAACGGAGCATCCATTAACCTCACACCTCCACCTGAGAAATCAAGGCAATTCAGTAAGGTTCATTCATCTTCTGCGAGATATTGTCTCCCCAGTATTCATCATGCAGTCAATTAATACTCAAAGGTCCATTAATTCATGAATTCATAAAGATAAGCAATATGATCGATCCAAGGGAAATCAATTACTAATCACAGTCTGTTCATTTAGGTATACACATGGAAAGGAACAGGATCCAGTATAAATCAGATAATCAAAAAGTTCTTCAATTTTTGAACTTTGACAGAGAAGCAATTACTCAGATGCTAAAGTCTACCCCTCTGCTCTGGGTTTAAAACTAGCTGGTCCTGGCCACTCTTTAGTTAAAAACAAATCAAGAAAATACCATGGCACCTGGCTCACTAACCATACCAACATGCTGCTCTGCAGGGCCTCTCTGCCTCCAGTCCTCTCAGTACTGCCCAACTGCTCCGGGTTTGTCTCTGTGCTTTTTGCAGTGCAGCTCAGCTTCATGCTTCCCTGAGGCTTTTCTCCACATAGGTTTTTGCAGCCCTCTCCTACTTGGAGCTGCGGGTTCCTCTCTCTGGGGGAACGGAGCACCCGGCATTGCGTTTTCTTTTTCCCAGAAAAAAGAAACCGAGAGTCATGTCATGGGAATACTCACCTATTGGGGGCTTGGCCTCATGGTTTTCCACCAAGTGTTTCTCCTTAATGACCCTGGCTCAGCCTTCTTGCTCAACCCGCACCCTGCCGACACCCAAGGATCCAGCCCAGGAATTCAGCCACATGGGCAAACTCTCTGCAGGTGGAACAGGTAAATGTCATGTTACAGCCTCAATTTATAAAGTCGAGAAGAAATCAAGAAACAGCTGGAGTGCTCTCATCTATGTCCTCATCTGAAATGGAACAAGTTTGCAGAGATCCAACCAAGCCTATCCACCTTTAAAGCACTGTACTGATATGAAGAAGGGCAGGGAACCTTAGAGACTAACTGGTTCAGAGGCATATGCTTTCATAAGCAACCACCTACTTTGTCAGATGCTATAAATGAATTTGCATAAAGTAGGGGTTCTAAATAGGTAGGAATTTAAATACAAAGGACAGGAAAGTGGGGGAGGATAGAGGGAGAGAACAATGCTGAGCAGCGGATGTGGGTTGAATAGATCAATCAGGACAAACAAGGCAATTAACCCACTATGGGACATAGGGGTTATAAAAGCTAGTCCAGGTAATGGTATAAAAATCCTAGTCTGTGCTGAGACCATTCTTAAAGCAATCTAGTCTGTGGATGATTTCTTGTTCTGCAATTTCATGTTCAACCTTCTTTTTAAAGTTTTGCTGTTTAAGATGGATAGAGTTAGGTCTTGATTAATTTTACATGCTTCAGTCTCCCCGCATTTTTACTACCATACCTTTCTCTCAGCATCACACCATACACCTTCTGCGGATGCCATGACTACGATCACCTCTCTAGAATTCCACACCAGGCATGCAGCAGTGTGGCAATTACTACTGAACCCTCTTGGATGGCACCAAGTACAATACAGTGTCAAACTTCCCAGTCCTGAACAGACTCATTGAGGCAAAGGTCAACTGCAAGTTCATGGAACTCAGTGGTTCCCAACCTTATTTTGCTGCAACACTAAATTGGCCACCAACAGGACCTCCCGACCCACTGCCACAGGGGCTGCTGGGAGCAGAGTGCGGCGGTGGCATCCCGGGAGCGGGGCAGTTGCCATTGCTCGCTTTGTGCATGGCGGCCACCTCCCACCCACCCACCCACCTGCCGCTCCCAGGCTGTGTGCGTGAGTGTGCATGTGGGCCCTTTGTGACTCTACTGAGGAACCCCTGTGACCCTGATTTGGGTCGCACCCCGAGGCTGGGAACCAATGATCTAACTGAAGCTAATATTCTAGATCTGGCATAGTCTGGATTCAGACCAGAACACAGAACTGAAACTGTTTTACAGGCATTGAAGGGTGATCTTCATCTGTAAGGAAATGGGAGCAGGCATCCATTCACATCTTCCTCTGCAGCACTTGATACTGTCAGTCATGCATAACAGCTGTCTCTGGTGGCATGAATCCAGGGGAATGCACTAAAATAGTTTGAGTCTTTCCTGCAGAGTTGCATCAATTGGTGATGGGAAACTGTCTCTGCACCACTAGACCCTTCACTCCTGAAGTCCCACCTAAATCAATTCTCTCTCTGGTCCTATTCTGCATCCAGGATATCAGTACCAGTAGGGACTGAGACTTGAGCCAGGGGTCCAGTCAGGGATCAAAAAATGCAGTGTCTAAGGCAAAGACCAAGAAAGGGATTGAGAGCTGAAGGTCCTACTCAGGAGTGGGAAGGAAAGACAGGAACTGAGGACTGGGTAGGTATAGGAATTAGGCAGCTTATGGGCTGGATTCAATCACCATCTGATAGCTTAAGTTGTGGATAGTGGTCAGGTGCCTTACAGTTTGACATAATGGACCCAGGTGCTAACAACATGTGCTCATATTTACCCTTCACTAGATAAAACCGAGGCCCAGTTCTTGCATGAGATCATTTCATGGCTGAAAAACAACTTGCTCAAGCTGAAATGAGGTAGAAGAGAGATGACGCTGGGGGGGTACTCTGGAGAGCATCTGGGGACAGTGCACTCTCCTTTGGTCAAAGGTACATACCTGTAGTTGGCCAATCCATTCTATAGTTTAGGCCATCTCTTGAATGTATTGCTAATACTAAGCTCCCATGTCTGTGACTAATGGCTTTCTATGTCTAATGCTTTCTATCACCTTAGGCTCACTCCATCCCATCCTAACAGGTAATGTCCTGGGCTCATTATTCTTTTGTTTGTCCCCTTCCAGCCACATTGCAGCACGGAAATATCCTGGGCACAAAGCTTTCAGTGCTCAGGAAACTCCAGCAAGTACAGAATACTGCAGTGCATCTTCTCAGCCACACAGGCAACACGAACATATCACATCTGCCCTCTAGAAAATATCAAATCAATGTGAAGGTCAGTCATCCAAGGGATTCAATGATTTGTACCCAGAGTATGTAAAAGAGTATCTAAAGTGGCCTTTTATCCAAAAGCAGGACAGGGACCATGTCCAACAGTTTTGCTCCTCCTGTCACAATGAAGCTGCTTACAATAAGGGTAAAAATATGTCTGTGCAGGAGACAAAACTTTCTCTGGGGTGAGTGCAAGACTCTGCAATGAATGTTGTGTAGAACTAAGGACCATTACGAATCTCTTCACCTTCTACTCCAAAAACAAGGCTTTATTCTTTGACCTTACCTTCTCTACCATGACTAGAGGGCAACATGCATAAAAACAGAACGCTTGCCAAAACAAGGCACTTGGAGAAAAAACAACATGTGACAGGAGTCACATTGTTTAATGCCCTACTGGAAGGCACGTAGTTGCTGTAATGATAATCATTATTTAAGAACCCAAATGGAACCGGCCATATCACTGCCTCAGCCCCGCTTGGCACTCCCTCTAGTTACCTCTTGTTGTTGGCTTCAGTTTTATGCTGCTTTTCCTTCCCTTCAAATCTCTATATGACTCTGTCCCTACAAGTACAAACACGTCACCTTTCCTCACCTTTGTGCCAGCATCAAGATTTTTATGGCATCACAAGGGGAAGCAAACAGACATCTATATCCTTTCTCGTGCCCACCATTTATGCTAATGGCAAAGGTGGTAATAGATTGTGCTGTTTGCTTGGTGGTGGGAGAGTGAAGGCAGCCAGAGCTACCCGCACTCTCCAGCTATCTTGGGCAGGTGCTTTGAAGGCTTGAAGGGCCTGATCCTGCACAACCCCAGAATTCCCATGCAGAATTGGGCCCCTCCTGGGGGGTCTCTGTAAGCATGGCACCCCAGGCTTTCCCCACTTATGGAGACACAACAGGGAGATCACAGGGGTGCATCTCCATAAGTGGGAAAT